TTCTATCTAATATTTCCTGCTGCTCGCACTCAAGAAAACTCTGGGGAACTGTGGGGGTGATGGGTAAACACCCCACAGAATGGCGCCATGAACAGGGACTAAAGAAAAAAGAAAAAGGGACTAAAGAAAAAAAGGAGGGATTAAAAAAAGGGGGGACTAAGACAAATGAACAGGGACTAAAGACAAAGAAATAGGGACTAAAGATAAAGGAAAATAATAGTTTTATTACAGAGTTTTTGGCAAAAGTGCTGAGTCAGCCCTGCCAGTGGAAAGGCATGCCAGTGTTATGGAAAATATAATATATAATTGAGGGGCAGGGGTTTTTATCCTCAAGAGAAAAGGAAAGCAGACTGGAAGGATGTCTGATGCTGCAGCAAAATTCTCTTCTGTCAAAATTTTCTATCCCTTTCTCAATTTCTATCTGTGAAAAATAAGTATAAGGTATAGGGTAGTAATATAGTGTAGGAAAAACTTAGAAGTGTAAGATCCTGTAGGAAAAAATAAGTAAGGCAACTAAGAAAAACTCTTCAATTTTCTAACTTTGGGGGCTATGAATGCAAACTGGGGGGGATCTTTCTTTGGGCTTTATGGGTAATAAAAAACCTCTTCTTTGAGCTTATGGAGAAGAATAAGTTTCCTATGGAAGCTTTTGTCCTGGGGACAGCTGAAATGCTAAGTCTAAGCATCAGGAGAAAGCATTTTCTCCCTGAGGCAAAAATGGTGTAAAAAAACCAAAAAGTTTAAAGTTCAGAAGTTTTGGGAAAAGTTGGTCTCTCTTGGGGAAAAAATCTTTCTCTTAAACTAAAAAGCTTTTCTTGGAAAATTTGGGGGGGGGAATCTCTCTAAAAAACAATCTTTCTCAAAAGCTGTTAAAAAGTAAAGCCTTTCAGAACTCTCGCTCAAAAGGACAAAAATTAGAATCACCTGAAGATATTAATATGGGGATCACCTGTGATTAGCTCTAAGGGAAAACAACAAACCTCTTAAGACAGCAAAACCTCTCTAAGTTCTCTTTCAAGCTTTAAAAATCCTCCCTGCAATGCAGGAGGCAGGGACAAGTTCCTAAAAACCTCTTCTAAGCTCTGTCTCTTTAAACTAGTAAAAGACAGTGGGTCAGAGTACCCTGAGGGAAACACTTGGGAGAGTGTGGGTAAAGAACTACAGAGAGCCCAAAAGGGCAGGAAACTTTAACTGAGAAAAGCAAAAAAGCCAAGCTTTTCAGTTACAGCCGAGCTGAAGGATCAAGTGTTTTGTTTCTGAGTGAGCATTTCAGAATGAAAAGGTGTTCCTAATCATCCAAATGCAAAGATCCCCTGAAGCAATGCAAACTGTTAGCATTGTTTCCTCTCTTCTGACCAAAAACCCAGAGGCGACTGGCCAGCATCTCTGAATTGGAGTGCATTTCGGGGATACTAGGGTTCCTGCGGTTGTAAACTTCCTGGAGCACAGAGCTGAGGCAGGAAGGTGCAGGACCCAGGGGAAGATTGCTAATAAACAAAGCTAAAGCCGTTGGGAATGGCACAGTTGTCTGCTTTCCTACAAGTCCTGGGTTGAAAGGTCCACAGCTGCAAAAAGAAATCTGAGAAAAGCTTTTCTATCAGAGAATGGACCTTTCTGGAAAATGGAAAGCTGAACTGTGTCTGAAGCAGTTGTGCTGCTGAGTCAGAACGCTGTCTGGGGAAAGAGCCCAGCCAGGGCAGGACAGAACTATCCAGGAGTAAAGCTTTCTTTTCTGTCAGAGAAAGCACTTCTTTGAGAAAAGCTTTGTTTCAACTGACTCCCTGAGATGAGGGGGTGTAGCTCTGAGGGGTGATTGCCTCTGGCATAAGCTCTGTCCTTGAGCACCCAGACAAGCAAATGCAACCCACTGGGGGACTGGACCAGGTGAAGGCCTGATGAGGCAAAACACCTGTCCTAATGGGAGTTTAGAGATGGCAAAAACCTCCCTTGTTAGATTTTCAGTCTGTACGCAAACCACACAGACCCCGAAAACAGAAACGGACAAAAAAAAAAAAACTTAGAAGTTGACTCTCAGACCCAAAAAGAACTATGGGAAATGAAGTCCAAAAGCTAGCTTGCAATAAGGGACTGATATAAGGGAAATGCATTCTGGGAAAGGTAGTTTTTCCACTAAAGATGGCGACATTGCCCTGAAACACTTTTGTCAGCTCGAAAATACGTTCAAGGTAAACTTAAAATACAGCTTTTAAAAGAATAAGGAGGAAAATCATCTAAGAGTTTAAGTGTCAGTTCCAATGAAAAATTGAAAGGATATGGAACTAGGTGCTTCGCGGTTTGGGGATCCTTTGGTAAAATGCCTTATTTACCGTAATAGCTGTGCAAAGTTTTTATGGTAGTTGGATGACAAAAAGCTACCTACAAGAGCAAACAAGCCACTTTAAAATCCTTAAAAACAAGGGAAAACAGTTTATACACTGAACGTTGTCTTAGATATGAAGAAACTTATGTTGAAATTAAAATAGTTCTTTGCCTTTTGAACAAACTGCCTGCAATGAGTAATTCCTTTGCAAAACTAATAAGGAGACAAGGAAACAGGCATTCAAAAAAGAAATGACTGCTTTATAGATGGGAAACAAACTTCAGAAAATCTAGCTGTCTTACAATAGAGTTGCTTCACCTGAAAGTTCCTTATAAGAAATCAATGCTAAATATCACAGCTGCTAATAACATTAGGAGTTAAAGCTAGTGAAATGAAAATACTAAATCCTGAAAGTGCTTTTTCTCAAAGTAAGCTAATGAAGGATACCTTTCATGAAAGAACATCTATGCTCTTGACTCCTTTGAATAGTAACAGTTTTGGTGAAAATATTGGAACTAACAACAACCAAGTCAAAATGTTTCAACAAATTCAAGACGCTATTCACAAAAGAAAGCTGCCATGCTTTGTGGGCCATAGTAGAGCTCACTCCAATCTTCCTGGTCCTTTAGCTGAGGTTAATGCAATGACCGATAAGTTAACAAAGATAGTAGCATTATCCCAAGTGGAAATGGCTCAACAGTCGCATGCTCTTCATCATCAAAATAGCAAAAGCTTAAGAAAGCAATTCAATCTCACCAAAGAAGCAGTTCGTCAAATAGTTAAATGATGTGGGGTATGTACAAAATATTTTCCTGTCCCTCACTTAGGGGTAAACCCTCGAGATCTTCTTCCCAATCTTCTATGGCAAATGGATGTTATGCATATTGCAGAATTTGGCAAATTAAAATATGTACATGTGACCATTGTCACTTATTCAGGATTTTTAATGGCTAGTGCACAACCTGGGGAAGCTACAAAACATGTAATTATGCACTGCTTGAAGTGTTTTTCCTATATGGGTATACCAAAAATTATTAAAACTGATGATGGTTCTGGATATTGTAGTAAGGCATTTCAACAATTTTGTACCCAATGGGAAGTCATACATAAAACAGGTATTCCTTATAATCCTCAGGGACAAGGTATTGTAGAAAGGGCTCATAGCAGTCTTAAAATACAACTTCAAAAAATAAATATAAAAAAGGAAGAAATTTACCCTCAATCGCCACATAATGCATTAAATCATGCTCTTTTTGTTCTGAACGTTTTGAATATGGATATCTATGAACAGTCTACCACAGATAGATTTTGACACAGTGGCACCCAAGCGACTTTTGCTCAAGTGAAATGGAAAGATCCCTGCTTGGGATTATGGAAGGGTCCCAATCCTGTTTTAATTTGGGGTCGAGGACATGTTTGTGTTTTTTCACAAGAGGAGAATGAAGCTTGGTGGTTACCGGAACATTTAGTAAGGAGCATGGAACTAAGGGTCAGCTCCAATGATGTTCCTATAAAGGAACCAGGATGAAAGTGGCTCAATTAGTGTTTCTGAGGTTTTGTCACTGGTTAATGAAAACAGTGAGGAAATAGAGTTCGGAGCTGTGCTGCTTTTGGCTTTACTAGCTCCTTTAGAAAAATACTTTATATCACTTAATAGCTATGCAGTATTTGGCAAAGAGCTTTACAGCAGCTAAATACGGTAATTTCACCCTCAGTGTGAAGTGAAGTTTTTCTGGTAGAACAAAGCAAAAGTACTAAGGGGAGCTATTATGAATTTGGGTGAAGGGACAGCCTCTAGTTAAAAACTGTCTACCGCTGACAGTGCATCTCTGCCGGTTCCGAAACTGGCAACTTTGGAGTGTGGCTTCATCCTGGGAAGGTTATAGTCCCCTAGCAACAACTATCACAATTCTATAACAAGGACACTCACTAAATCCCAGTGCTTTATAGCAAAGCTGACTATAAACTGTAAACTTTAGAAATGATGTACGTACTTCCTGTCTAGTTAAGAGAATCTTTCTAATAGAGATGGTGATAATAATTAAGAGTAAGAAGTAGAAAGACGAATATAAGATATGTGAGTTTGTAGAAATTATTCTCTTGTTAGATCTCTGTGTTAAGAAATCTTTAGGTGTTTGCTAAGTTAACTATATGCTAAAAATAGATCTATAGAGTTCCTTTAAGAATATAAGCTTGCAAGAAGTATCTAATGTAGTCTTAAGACATGTAGTAATAAGCTTGTAAGAAGTAAAGACGTTAGTTGTAAATGTAAGTTTAAATAAGAAATAAGATGGAATGAATATAAGTATATAAGAAGTAATAAGAAATATATTTGCTAAAGTAGTTCTA